TTCCCGCCCCCCCCCCCCCCCCCGCCACGGTGGGGTCGTCGGACCAAAAATTATATGCCTATCAATGCAAATAAAGTTATTTTAATTGGCGCCAATCCATAATATTGTGGTCTAAAGTTAAATTTGGGCCACACTAAAATCTCTCCATGAACCTTACTAGGAATTTATATTCTGGGACCTCACCGTGGTTCTAGTAGACCCCTGGTTCGGACCCCCTGTTGAACTCAGGCCCCCGTGTCTGCACTTTTCTGGAGCAACCACTGGCTGTCTGGATGAGAATGAAGTATAATCGATGTTACTGCCCACATTTTGGGCAGGTTTGATTGATGATAAGCATAGTTATGTATACATAAGGTCTTATTTTCTACTTCGCATTTGAAGCTGGCGACTGCCAGCAATGGCTGGTGCTGCCTGTATTTTCAATTTAAATTTGATGAACCCAAACTCACGCCATTTAATGCAAACGTCAAGCAATGTTTAATGTTAATACATTCATTAGGTACGGTAAGGTATAGTACGTCTAGCGCTAACAGATGGCCAATTAATCAAACAACAAATTAATTTGTTTTTCAGCAAGGCCATGCTTAAAATAATACTAAAATGTAACAAAAATACACATTAAAACTTAGAGTTAAAACAGGTCTACACACTAAATCACAATAATGCGTAACACTATCGTACTAAAGTTAAATTCAAGTAAAACTATAATAAATCTAATGTTAATTTATCTGTTTTTTGGGTTCCAATAATCATACAGTTTCTTTACATTTAGACTTAACTTATTTTTTTGCCAACCAATTTCTAACATGTATCAATAATTCCATCAATATCGTTTGGCGCATAATATACCTTAACGCAATATCGTCTCTGTACAAACTGTTTTTTTACTTGTTCAACGTGATTTGGCAAGTCGTTATTAAGGCAAAAACAGTTATAAATATCAGTGGTAGGCCTACTAGTATACTACCGGTACCTTGTGGTATCTCTGTTATATTTATTAGGCAGGTGACGTTGAGAATTTTGGCCTGAACCATAATTGGTTGTCATATATCAACTTGAGTTGAGCTCTCTTTCTACATCAACACAGAAATAAGTATGCAGAGAAAATGTAGCAGAACATTAAAATATAGTGGAAAAGAGGTCGCCACAGTAAGCGAGCTTTATAACGGGCGCACTTTTATTATAAATATATTTAACTGCTGTAATAAAAATAAATAAATATAATAACAATCAAATAAAGCCCTTACAAATTCTGAAAATAAGTTATAATTTCATATAACACAATCATTCATACATAGGTTAACATTATACTTATAGTTTTCATAATTATGGTTAATTAATTTTCTTTTGAATATAGATATTCTGATACTAAGTCCTAATTCTTTATTGAAATCGTGCGTTCCAGATTTTAGGCCCTATGTTAAGCCCCTTTGTCTCATTATTTGTGTTTATTTTTTGCTATACACAAATTATCTTTATTTCTTGTACCATATCTATATAGAGAGTCTGAAAAAGGGACACTGACACTTGTCCTGTATAGTATTTATACATAAATATTGAGATGTTCTTATAAATACCATTCACTGTGAGAGAATTTGTT